CTTTGTTCCACATCGATAAAGAGAAGAAAAAAGTCTCTTAGCAAATTTATATATTCTCCTATTTCTCTGTCAATTACAACTGCGAGTGGGCTTCATTTAGGCCCACCATTTGCCACTAAGTTTTAGATTTTGGTCTTATTAATAGGATAAAATGGGTTAAAAATCCGATTAACAGGTTTAGGCGTCCGATTTTGTTACTGCCCGAATAACCCATGCGAATAGGTGATAATCGCGGTGGCAGGGCACTGCCGAGCGTCCAGGAGGCCGATTTTTAGAATAGGGATATAAACTAGTGTATATTTTGGTATATTTACTTATCACAACCGTTGTTACCAAGTCATCATTGTCTTGCATATGCAAATATTTCAAGTTGTTCCATTAATAACGGAAAAATGGTCAATTTCGACCTGAATTTTTTTCGTCCTGCACTTTTATACCTCAACTTTTACATATGTTTTATTTCAACCTGAACTCAAAAATAATTTAAATTTAATACTTGAGCTAGCATCTTATGTGCCAAAATATGCTTTGACCAAGTTATGTTAGTCAACGTAAACGGAATAATGATTAAAATGACACGTGGGTTAGGTGGCTCGGTTTTCTTGGCTTAAAAACAACATTGTTTCTTTGTTTAAATAAAAATACGTTATTTTGACTTGGAGGTAACACAAAATCGAATCTATAATTCTATAAACCGAATGCTAACTTGAGTACTAACGAAAACTTGATCAAAGTACAATTCAACACATAAAATGTTAGTTTATCTATTAAATTTGAATTATTTTTGAATTCAAGTTGAAATAATCATATGTAAAAGCTCAGGTTTAAAAATAGGCAATGGAAAAACTTGAGGTCTAAATTGGCGGTTTTCCCCCATTAATAACATACACACTTGACTCCGCAAACACCGCCAATGAGAACTATACCCGCGTTTAAACAAGCCGAGTCCATATAAAGATGATAACTCTCTTGAGAATTCACCCATGAAATTTAAATTTGTCTACATACAAAACTTACCTAATTAAAAACTAGCATATTAATTTAGAGTACATTGCAAGATCCGGTGATTGTGTACTAAAATGTAAAAATGTCTACGTCTTGCGTGTTGAAAAATTTGGGTTTCCGAATCCGAGATTTGTGGGCATAAAGCCAGATCGACCACGTGGGGAACCAAAACGACACCGTTTTCTCCGTTTGCGCCGAATATAAAACATAACGGTGCTTATGGCTTGAGAGAACGGCGGAGCTTTTTTAATTAATTAAAAAAATATACTATTATTTAAATATT